GTTCGCAACGGAAGGTAAAAGGCGCCTGACTACTTCTCGAAGACGCGCGCGCCGCCTCGCAAAAGGTCGTTAATTTCGCCCCTATGACAAAAAACAAAATTCCGCCACGCAGGAGTTGTGCGCGTTTACAACATCAATTTCAAAAGAATCGGACCAAAACTGTAGTAGAAGATAGGAAAAAACTGAAAAACCTTCACGTTAGTATACTACGCTCGAGGATGACGCCCAGATGTCGCCAACCCCACATCATGTAGCCATGTCCCTAAGGTTGCCAAATTTCACGGCCCTGTAGATACACGTACACCCGTTGCCTTTCTACAAGAGTTCTTCTACGCGCCCACATTTGCTGCCAGCCAGCCAGCCAGCCAGTCAGCCAGCCAGCCAGCCAAAGTGAGATTAAAAGCTACTTTTTACAAATAAATTTGCAAAAATGCGCTAAAAATCTGCATCCCCACTAACCCAAAATAGTATATTAAGTAAGAAGCAAGTGTATAATCAAGTCTTTAAAGCACGCGCAACGTGCAAGTGTTTTAAAGACCAATACACGCATTTCTTGTAGTATTCTTTATTATACCTGCAATATCATTTAAAAATAAGAGAAATAAAACAAAATCATTTGACGTTATACTGGAGTATGGGCTGATTTTAAATTTAAATTTTAAAACACAGCAAATAGATGGTAAATGCCTTAAACCTACAAAGCCCAAAACTCCGTTAGGAATACATTAACCATAAAGAATAATGATGGTTAAAATGAACTTGATGGACTCTTTGAAGTGTTGTTAAATATACTTATCTAATGCTTTGGAAAAAAGTCTTGTAGAAATAAATCCATGAAGTAGATATCTCACATAATCTATAGTGTGAAACCACCAAGGCTCCAAACGAGGCTCCAAACTTAAAAATGTTTGTGTCATAATTTTAATCTAAATTAAAGCCTTTAACCAGCAACAGAAAATTTGGCCATTTTGCAAAAATATATCCGCATAAAGAACCTGTTTGTGCTAGGATTTACACATCTCCGTAATCTAATAACGTTTGTTTCATAGATTTATTAATTGTTAGGTTCAGAACCATCTATCTATTTTTACCACCTGCTCTTTCGTAAGGGGGCATTGGGGTACAAAATGACCCCACCCCCCTCACTTTTTCACGGAAATACACGTTTTGAAGCACCAAGAATTCGAATAAAACAAAATCTCGATGGTGTCGGTCTGAACTCTCATTTCCGGCTAAACGTCTGAACTTATTGGAACCAAACTTGGTACGCATATTCTTACATATGAAAGAAAAAACTGTAAAGCTTTTGGGTAGAACGAGCATGCGCAGGTGTGTGGGTGGTATTTCTGTACTAGCCACAGAAAACTATTTTTAATCCTATACAAAGAGATTAGATTTTCTTAGCTGTATGCTGCAATTGTAGAGATAAATCCGATGATAAAGCGAAACAATTTTATTTTCCGGGATAGGCGAAAAAATAAATAAGCCTTATATAACCTAGATGGCGCGGTTATAATAAAATTTGAAGAAAGCTAATATTTCTTTTTAATAATAATAATAATAATGTTTATTTCCAATGAACATCATATAGAACAAAAGGAAAAAGAAAAAGTACATTCAGATTGGAAAAAGGACCACATTCAGTGCGATATACACTGCTCTTCCATGTGGCCCTACATCATGAGATATGAACTTGAACTAAACATGGTATATGGACAAATACATTAACACTCACACGCAAATCACTCCTCAGAACTTCCTAAACCAAAAATTTATGTTCAATACAGAAGCCCCTTAAGCCACAATAGAGAGTTGATCATCTAACAAAAGGAACTTTACTTGTCTTTTAAACGTGGCTTAAACTTCGTAAAGTTAGTGACAATTTATTAAAGATGTTTGTAACATTATAAGAAAACGATTTCTTAAAGAATTCGGTAGTATGCATTGGAATCTCTAAAAGGCCCCTATGCCGAAGATTTAAGTTATGTACATCTGTACGATAGGCTAAACGTTGTGCTAAGTAGGAAGGAAGTTAGAGTATTTATTACTTTGTGATATAGTACCACAGCATGAAGAAATCTCCTTTCCATCATATTTAGCCACCCAGCTTCCCTCACTTTATGAGATATGTGATCTCTACGTTTGATACCATATATGAACCGCAAACACGCATTTTGTACCCTTTGTATTCTAGTTTTCGTCGACGAGTCGATACAAGCCCCATATACAACATCGCAGTAGGTAATTAAAAATGATCAAAGTCCTCGTGTGAGATCGAAGGGACTTCAGCGCATTTTTGTGTGGCAGATCAGTGTTTTATTAGCCAATATTGACTCCACCATCAATAAGATCTTGCCGAAAGCTACCACGTTCACTTTGTCGGTACCATTTTCTCACTTACCGTGCACTCGCAATTCGCGTTTGAAGTTTTGACTCCACCATCAGTAAAATCCTTTGGGGGTTACCATATTCCCTTTGTCGACACCCACTTCTGATCACCCGCAACAATTCGGATTTGAAGTTTCGACTCCACCATCAGTAAGATCTCGTCGGGGGTTACCACATTCCCTTTGTCGATACACAGTTCCGACGTCCCGTTCATTCGTAATTCACATTTTGGTAGATTTCGCTAAAATCCCGGCATAAAATCGTATTCAACTTTTGGGTACTTCACATAGCTCGACCTTCTATTAGTGACACGAGAAAGAGAGACCGCGATTCGCGCTGTAAGAAACTTTTGGGCGCCCAAAGTCGACTACCCCTCGAAGCGCGCCGCGCAAAAGGTGGTTTATTTCGCCCCTAGGAAAAAAAAACAAAATTCCGCCACGCAGGAGTTGTGCGCGTTGACAAGATCTTCCCGACGACACCAATTTGAAAACAATCGGAGAAAAACTGTAGAAGAAGATAGATAAAAACTGAAAAATCTCCAGGTTAGTATAATACGCTCGGGGATGACGTCCAGATGTCGTCGTCTCCAACTCTTGTAGCCCCATCCCTAACGTTCTTAATTACACAGCCCCGATAGTTACATGTACACTCCTTGTCTTTTTACAAGCATTTTTCTACGGGCGCGCATTTACTGCCAGCCAGCCAGCCAGCCAGCCAGCCAAAGTGAGATTAAAAGCTACTTTTTACAAAAAAAAATTTTTGCAAAAATGCGCTAAAAAGTGATAAAATAAGGCTATCAGAAAGATGAATTTTTGTTTTGACATTCAAAATGTTCCTGTTTGGGTATAATCTCTTAAGTATTGAGTACGCCTTACGGGTACAAGAATTTACATGGTTAGTAAATTTCAAATTATAATCAAACCGAAGTCCCAAATTCTTTGCTACGTTTTGTACGCTCAGTTGATTGTCACCAATTTTTATGGCAATGAAGGATCTTACTTTTAACCTAAGTTGCTCACGTCCAAAAAGTATCACCGAAGACTTATTTGGATTTATATTTAAATTATGTTCGGAAGCAGTATTAACGACTACATTTAACTCCTTGTTAATTAATTCGACGGCTGCATGAACTTCATTTGGTTTGAAAGAATAGTAAATTTGTGTGTCATCGGCGTATTGATGATATCTACATTTAATGAGACCATTACAGATATAATTTGAGTAGAGTACATATAAGAGCGGTCTTAAGATAGATCCCTGTGGGTCCCCTTGGGTAATGGTGGTAATTGGAGACTTCACATTACTTACAATGACCCGTTGTGTCCGATTCGTGAGGTAGGAGTTGATAAGTTCCATTGCCGCCAAGTCAAAGCCGTAGTGAACAAGGATTCGCATTAATAGTTTATGATTAATAGTATCGAAAGCTTTTGAAAAATCTAGCATCACCATAACTGTCACCAGGCCTTGATCGGTAGCTTGTATAATATCGTTTGTTACACTAAGGAGTGCTGTGGCGCAGCTAGTTTTTCCTAAAGCCCGATTGAAATTCTGATATTAGTTTATATCTCTCAAAATATTCATACATTTGAATTTTCATGATCTTTTCCAACACTTTAGATAATGTAGGAAGTATGGAGATTGGTCGTAAATCTTTGAACTCCTTGGGGTTGTTATTTTTCGCAATGGGTGTAACGTGAGCCAGTTTCCAGTTGAATGGAAAGGTAGATGAAATGAAACAATGATTAATGATGTGGGTGATGTATGGCACCATAAAAGGACAGCAAAGATTAATCATGTCAATGCCAATGCCATCAGAACCAATAGACTTAGATTTAATACTATTTATAATATTTAAGACTAAAGCTTCATCGACAATATTAAACTTGAATGTTTCGTTCACATGTGGATGTACAAAATTATATAGCGATGACGAAGACTGTGGGGATGAAGCAGTAGGTACTGAGTTAAGAAAGAAAGTATTTATATCACTAGGATTTCTTAAGTGAGTCGGTATATTAACGCTACGTTTGTTGCACACATCTAAATCCGTCACGGCTTTCCACATAATTAATTGAATAAATAAAAGCACTAAGGTATGTTGAAGTCCACTGTGTGTTCGAAATGGGATAATTGATTATGAAGTGATCAAAAGAACTCTAAAAACCGTTCCCATAGTTATTTATTCGCCGACGTGGAAGAGGTGAAGAGGAAAACGACGGAGACGCTTGCAGACATCAAAGTAGATGAGTTCAAAAAATGTTTCGAACAATGGCAGAAGAGATTAAACAAGTGTATTGCCGCTACCGAAGAGCACTTTGAAGGAATTTTGTACAAAAGCATAAATACACGCTTCAAAAGCAACTTTTCTGGAATCTTTTGGGTACCTCCTCGTATGTTTGTAAAACTTTTACATTTTCAACAAAGTTCTATATAATAGCACTTTAATATTCGTCCCTACTTCCTGGACGCCCTATATTATTCTTAAAATTGGTATTTTTTATGTATTTATCCAACATTGCAGGCATTATTACGTATTAATGGTATTACCGGCTTCGATATTATCTGGTATTAATCCAAGTGTTATTAGTACCTATTGTTTAATTTCTACGCACCTGGTGTGTATTCATGCAACTACGTTTGGCCGTTAGAATCTGAAAAGTAAAAATTTTGTATCAATATTTCATCAAAGATCTTGATTTTTCTATGCAAATTACAATAAGTGGCAAATTGGCATGACAAGAGGCACGAACATGGTTCAATGTGTTATTAACTTGCGCTACTACCATTTTTCTATATGGTTACATTCAATACCACTCATCCTTTAAATCGATTCGCGAAGGATTCAAATCGACAAAACGAGAAGATAAGGGAAAGCTTATTGAAAAATTGAAAGCTCGAACTCCTAAATATGTATATTTCGAAGTTATTTTTTAGCGATTCCAGATACCGTACAGTGTCACACTTTTGCACCTCTATAATTGTTACTGCTATCAAAAAAGTAACATAGGCGTCATGATCTCTTTTTTGGGTCAAACTTAAAATGGTACAATAAATTTTCGCTCACTTTATAAGATACGGGGGAAAATAAAAAAAAACTGTCAACTTCTGTATGACTACATTTTCTTAGTTAGAAGTAATAAAAAAAAATTCTTACAATTCTTGCCGTTTTTAAGTGTACATTTTAATGTAAACAACAATAGCATATTAAATTTTTTTTAATATTGCACGTCTCCGATGCTATTAAAAAAAGATTCAAAATGATAAAAAAAGAATGTAGCATTTAAAAAGGTTCAAATGATTCAAAAAAATACAAAAAGATTGAGTTTTTTTAATTTTTCAAATATTTTTAATTTTTGAAAAAAGAATGACTGCTATCGTTTTAGATTAAAATATACAGGGTGTTCCATTAAAAAAAATTAAAAATTAGTATAAAGAAACTTTTATAATGAACATTTCTGTATCTCTCTTAACTAGAGAAAGTATAATCATTCCGAAATTCCCCTTTATCTCTTAAGCGAGCAAATATTTTCAAATTTCACGTATGACTCAAAAAGAAGACATGACGCTTATGCTTTTTTGATGGCAGTGACAATTACAGATATATAAAACTGGCGAACATGGTACAGTATCTGGAATCGCAAAAAAATTAATGATACTGGTACTGTACTCTGTGAAGCCCTGCTAAAATTAATCGAAAAAAACATCTCGATTGTGCGAAGAACCACAAGGATGAGTGTGCCATTTAATTCAATTTTTTTTTAATTGTTATTTTTAGTCCACTTTTCTCAAAGAGCTTATTATATCTATTTTATTTTATTGAAGAAGCTATTGGAGATTCAAGTGGTTTTTGAAAGTGTTGCATAACTTTTTGGCCATAGGGGATTTGCCAGTGTATTTTTTGTTTAATTTTAAAAAACAAAATAATTCATAAAAAATCTGATTTAAATAAAAAATGACCCCCACTTTCTTGACAGAAGACACGTTTTAGAGCCCCACGAATCCGAATCAGACAAAATTTCAATGATGTCGGTCAGTCTGTCTGCATATTCTAAGACATAAAAAGAAGAGATTTTGGGCAGAATCGAGCATGCGTACATGTGCGAATGGTAAGTATCTGTGCTAACAGAAAATTTTGTAATTTGACTTGTGAACGAACTATCGAGGCTCAAAGAAATGACAAGTGTTCCAAGAAATATGGTATGGTTTTTATTTTCGAAAGTTGATAGCAATTCTGTCAAAGTTAAAGTTGGCGTGAAGTTAACATTATTCAAGAATTGGTTAGCGGACTGAGAGCGATACAGTTGAAAATGGCCAAACTTGTCCAGCAAACTGTAGGAGAACAATAATTTAATGAATGTAATTTTTAAACGAAATTGCCTGTTTAGGTAAATAATTTAGCAACCAAAACTTTTTCAAGGCTCTTTAGTCTTATTAGGTTTCAAGGTGTATTTAAATTACACCGACGTTCGTTACTAATTTCATGTTCACGTTTTTATAAATCCAAAACTATTTAAGGGTTTATTTGCAAAGGAACAGATACACGACAGGATCAATATCGTATAGCGAGAGCCCCCTCCGTTTCGATCTTGAATGTTTGACCCATAAGCACATAATCGTGACAATGGCGCATGAGGGGGATTTATTATTCATTATTACGCTCAATGGATTCGACGTATATGCCCACAGCCCCTAAAAAGTTGCCTAGTACCGTACTAAGGATTTAAGGTCAAAAATTTGATCGTACAGCCTACGGTACATGATATTAAAATGGAAATTAACTTAAGTTGTAAATAAACATCCCAAAGCAATTACTATACTTTTCCGAAGTGGAAATCATTTGAGGTAATCGCCACTGTAATTTACAAAAAAAATCGCTCTAAATTACAGGCAGCGTTTCGATCGTGTTTTAATATCGCCATAATGTCACGTTAAATCGATGCCATGTTTACTCAGATTTGTAAGCGAAATGAATTTCAGTATATCACGCCGATGTAATTTTTGGCACGAAACTGGGGTCTTCTTATCTTAACTACGAATCTGAAATAATACCCAAGGCTCCACCGCGAGAAGAATCGTTTTTCAAAAAGGAGGATCCTCGCTATTTGAAGAAGCAACCCGAAAACGTTGCACGGTTCGCGTGAATGCTCGTTAATAATAGTAGAGCGTGAGGGGGTGGTAAACGGAGTATAAATATTTTTTTAAGGGCGGTCAATAACTGAGCTGGACGTTTCCATATACCACTGGTCATGACCCAGTACGACCTTAAAGTGACCGGAAACACTGGCCCACGTTGAAGGAAAATATGTCAACTCACGCTTAGTGTATCTATGTAATGGGGACGTTGACGTTTTATTGATTATTTCCTCGTTACATTTTACTTTTGCGTTTACTGTTTGTAGAGTAGATTACACGTTTCTAACCGATCGTCGAACGGAATTTGAACACCCCCAACCAAGATGGGAAAGTGATCTAAAACGGAAGCGAATATCGTTAAGCCAGGAAATAAGATTATATTTTACTGAATGTATTTTACATAAAGAAGAACGAGGCCGACTGCTTGCTAACACAATTTCGTCGCTGCCGGTACAGGAAGTAGGGCAGAGTGTTATATATACGCTACGCAACCCTTTAATCTAAACGCGTTCCTGCTGGCATTTCAGGCCGGATAAAATAGAAAATGGAAAAAGGTTAAGGTTGAGGTCGGTAAAAAATGGATGAGGACATAGCTACTTACTAATTTAATACTTTCATTATCATTAACTCAGGGAAGTAGATTAACAGAATGAAAAGGACGAAGGATACTTTTTTGAGAAAATGTAGTAATTTCCTTAATTTGCCTCGATTAAAGTATTTTTTTTACGTCACATACCTTTGAGATAATGCAAAGTTTAATTAATTGTGTACTTGCCACCCCCGGGAAGTATTCTTTTCAAAGAAAAATATATGGTGGCGTTCCTCATGGTCGTGTTTTAGGCCCTGTGCTGTACTCGTAACAATAATCATCATTAAAATCCACTTTCAGTCATTTATTTGGCGCGAATCTTTCAGATTTTCTCAGACAATTATCTTTAATTTCTATCCAAAACGCCCCATTTTAAAATTTATTGCATCACTTCACCGACGATTATACGCTGTAAAGCCGATCATCTAAGACTATAGTAGTACCGGTGTGATTTATCATGATCTCCAATCATCACGTAAATTAAGTTAATGAGTACATAATTGCCTGAATATACGTTTTTGTGGCGAGACTGCCAATTAACATCACAAACGACCACCAGGCGCAATTCAGGTTATCGGATTCTAAACAGTAAATAGTGTAAAAATATATTGTTTATAAATATATACTTTTTTGTTTAAGATTAGACGCTTAAAAACAAAAGGTATTTCGTTAGTCTTCGTGGAAATTGGTTATTTTTAGTTATCTGTTCTCATTTCGTATGTACAATGAAGTCATTATTCCGTAACTAATTACTTTTTTTTTAGATAAAACAATTTTCTATCAATATCGGGGAAAAAGAGGTTATCTGTCGGTACATGTTATTATGACGACAATTATTAATTGTTCGTGGCTTTTCGATTGGTAAAAACGTAATTGACTTATTCCTGAAATGGCAACGATCTTTATAATTCGACCACTTTATCATTAGGATCCACTAAACAATAATTATTCCTTTGTTTCACTTTGTTTTATTACGGTGGTGGTGGACATTTGGCACTTCAATTTTATCATACAGCATTTAGTTTCTTTGGATCTTGAACTCACCCTCTCTCTCCCTCCATACAACCGAAAGCTTTTTAATGGATTTCATGTTTTGTATACCAGACTGTTTGCCGTTATTACAGTTTACCAGCTAAATCAGGGGTCTCCAAACTTTTCAACATTAGGGCGACGTTAATTGCTTCTGAAATTCCATAAGGGAGGCGCAATTGATAAAAGTAAGTGCAACTTTCAAGTACAGGGGGCAGGATTGGTGTTGCTGGGCAGGCCGGTTTTGGCCCGCGGGCCGTAGTTTGGAGACCCCTGATCTAAATTAAAAAAATGTAAGAGTTTGTTCATTACTATTAATTTTATTCGGATTTATGTAGAAAGCACAGGTGAAATAAAAGCAACCAAATGACAGTACTTCTGTAAATGCCGGAAGTTTGCACCATTTTGGTTTTCTTAAATAGAAACACATCAATTTTCTATTTTGCTGGAAACCTTTTCAAGACATTTAGCGGTTCCTCCTTAGACTTTAAGAATTCGATTATAAAAAGAGCACTCGCTCATCTTGAACGGTTTAAGAGATATGGATTTTTGGATGGACCCATGCACCTCCACTTTTTTACAGAAAAATGGACAAAAACTATGATAGATAGATACGCAAATCTTGTTGAATTCAGAATAAAATGGCGCGTTTACAACCAGCACAAATTTTGCATAACTCTTGTGCAGATAAAGCGCATTTTTTTTTTAGTTTTTTAATATTCACTACTTGCATTCTCATATGCACTTTTGGTGTTAACTTAATTGTTTTACACTTGACTTGATATAACGTCCACTTTATGTCTCTTGCGTTTGTTTTTTTGAATTTGTTTAAATGCATTTATTTCGATACCTGATTTCTATTGTCACATTTGAGATTTTTGATTTACAAGTATGTGTCTC